TCAGTGAATGACCGTTAAAATCGAAGGACCAAGAAAAAATGAGGAAATTTCCCGCCAGAAGTGATGAAACACAGTGCCCTTAAGGTTCGAGTGGAAACTCCACCATTACTCAAACATAATTAAACAAGAACCTCAGCGAACCGATAGCGGAAATGTTCGCCTGCTCCGGAAATTAGTTTTAAAGGATTGGCACGGCAAATAGCCATTTCTGATGGCTACGAAACTGTAGCTCAGAATAGGTGTAGGGGAAATCGTACGCCTCCAAACGACAACTTTAGCGATAGAAGGGTCCCGTTTATCCTACCCTTCATCTCAAATGGTATAAGTACAGCTATAAAACGCTGCGTAAGAAGGGCGGGTTTAGAAAATTCGGTGAGCGTAGTTGAAATACCACCGAGTAATCTTAAGCGCCAGCTAGTTCGCAACCGCCTATATGACCGTCTATGTGCAACTCAAAATTGAATAATTTGCTCCAGTGGTAGAGACGGTGATTGCATGAGCTTGGGTATAGTTTATCTGATCTCCTGTAAGACGTGTGGTGACGAATACATTGGCGAAACGGGTAGACCCCTCTGTGTCCTCATGAAAGAACACCTAGCCGGCAAAAATAGACCAAATACCCCGCTAGGCACACATAGGACCCAGAGACATAACGGGGACGACTTCGAAGTATGTGTCACGATCCTCGCACGCGAATCAAGAACACAGGCGCGAAAAACTCTCGAGGCACTCTGGATTAGTTCCAGAAATCCGAAAATGAACCGCAGGGAAGAATGCCTCATTATCACGCGTGATATAGGGCAGTATATAAAACTGCTTTTCTGATGTGAGGGGCACATTATACTTCCACGTGATTTCTGTGCGGTTGGTCTCTACGTGACATACTTAGTGGAAACCTCATAGAAAGCGGCGAGTGTGCAAAGCTGTGTTCAAAGTGATTGAAATCTTGGTTTGGGGTTTCTTTGTTTGGTTATGGAGGCGTCTGGCCGAGTAGATTGCTAT